AAAATAACACTTTATAAACAAATTTTGGAATTGCATAAAAATTAATAATTTCATTACAAATTTTTGAATCAATACAACATTAAAATGTGATGCAACACAACCTATCTAAAAAGGAGTAAGGATTAATTGCATCCTCTATAAAGCTCGAAAGTACAATAAACTATCCAAACAACAAATTACACATAAACAATGACATAAAAAGGGGCTAATAGACCGTAACACGGAATAGAATGAAGAGCGCAAGGCAAATCTGGACACTTGTTGCATTATCGATGAATTTAATATCTTCTTCAGGTTGGCCACCGAGAACACTTATAATAAGCTTAAGCTGACCGAGGCAATCAGTTCCTTGGAATATTGGCTTCAGGCCAAGAATTTCTGCAAAGATGCAACCTACGGACCAGATGTCAATATAGGTTCCATAATTGTCATAGGAAAGAAGCAGCTCTGGTGCACGATGAAAGAGGTTGCCTGGTCAACTGCACATCAAAATGCCAAAATTTTTTGTCAATTAATTATTAACATCGGATACAGTGCAACATAATTGGGCCCATAGTTCCAGCAAAGCCCGTGTCAGGTTTTAGGCACACCAAATGAAAAGGCTTGACAGGACCACCTAAAAATCGAACCTAATCCAAAATTACACCTCTACACAAGATAACTTTTTTCTCTCTTAACAACTGAGGTATACCTTTGGAAGAGAAAATTCATTGTGGTAGAAACTATAGTGGAAAACTGAAAATAGGTCTACATGACAGTTACATAATCTATGTATGAACTTCTACCCGTTTCGTGTAATTACAGTTAGTAAAGAAAGCAAGATAAATACTGTTTTAGATGCACATTTCCAAGATTTTTAATGTTCTCTAGTGTAATCAGTTTTACAAGTAGCCCCTAAATTCAATGACAAGGAAACGGGCAAAGAATTATATAAGTAATCCATCAGACATTAAAATAGATTTAGACTCGTACCATTTAGAGTTGTTCTCCAAACAAGAATCAAAATTGCAATATGAAAAAATTACCGTGTTTCTCGAGAAATCGAAGTGCTTTTTCAAGGAAGGATGGGCCTCCATCTATATCCTCCAATGCAAGCAAAATTTGGCGTCCAACAACCAAAGATTTCACTGGGTGCTTATTCCTCCCTGAATCAACCTGAGAGGTGATAGAATGTGATTAAAAGGACTGCTTGGAGCTCAAGGAAATCGGCATTACAAAGCTCAGAGACATAATTTTCTGAAGAACAAGGAAGAAAATGATAAATAGCATGTACTGACGTTGATGGAAGGATCGTTCAATTGTATCACTAGTGTCACTCCTAAATTCCCGTTGTGTTCCATCACAAGCATGACACTTGGCGCTTGTGCGAGAGCATGTTCTAGAGCTGTCTTCCACTCGTACAAGTCCTCCAATGTCTCTGCCTGAAATTTAAAAAGAGAGAGAAGAATAGGTTATTAAAAAAATCTAAATACACGAAGACAGAACTGCACAAAAATCAGACTTCAGTCACCAAATCAATAAATTGAAATCTTTGTAAATGATAGTAATAGAACTTTATATGCACCTGTTATTCACTAGCATTTGCTCTGCTCTTCTAACGACATTCAAAACAAGAGGTTTTCCTTCCTGTTATACCACATATCATGTAGGTGATCAACTCGAAAACTAGCCAGGACTAGATATGAATGATTCCATAATTAAAAGGCACAACATTAAGCACGAAAAATTCACCTCTGTCCGATAAGCACCAACACCCAAATTCAACTTCAGCGGGCTCGTGTCCTTATTGTACACAACAGTTACCTATTAATTCACATGTATACACCAGAAATTTTATTATCCATGTCTTGTCAGAAAAAAATATAACCAAAAAATTAAAAATCTTTCTTTACATAGTTGGGTTTTCTGAATAAAATTAGAGTACAAATTTCAAGCATAACTAGTTCAATTTATTATTTTGCACAGTCACTCCATTAACATGTAGATTATTAGAAAAATTAATTCAAGACGTGACGCTGATAAGAACTTACATCCTGATTACAACTGTTTCTTCGAGTTCAAGTGGTACTTCCGATTTTTGTGAACTCAACTCAGATTCCGATTCAGTGGCAGATACCGTAATTTCTAGAGTTTCTGAGGTTGAATGTTGAGGAACCCCCTCGAATTCATCCTCATCCCAGTAATTAAAAGTTGTAGAAGCAGGCTTCGAGCTCGGAAGTGGGTTGTGAAAGAGAGATGGGGGAGGAGAAGTTGACCAACGAGGAGGAACAATTGCATCGTTTGATTCATCGAGGACAAAATCTTCATCTTCATCGGCGTCGAAGCCTTTGAAGTGGGATTGGGCGGTTGTGGGAGAGGTAGTGAACGAGGAGGGAGAAGAGGGAGAGAAGGACGGTATAAAAGATGATAACCTAAGACTTTGGACGGGTGGGGTTAACCCGGTCCACAATTAACAAAACTGGCCCAATCCAATTCGCCTAACCCCTTTACTTTTCGCAACGTTTATTAAACGTGGCTTGGCAAGATCGTTTGTAACGTTTAATAAACATTGCAAAAGGTGCCTTTTGCAACGCTTATCGAACGTTGCAAAAAGTTTATTTTTTGCAATGTTTATTAAACGTTGCAGAAGATCAACTTTTCGCAACGTTTATTAAACATTACGAAAGGCACTTTTTGATAAACGTTGAGAAAAGTTGATCTTCTGCAACGTTTAATAAACGTTGCAAAAAATCAAACTTTTCGCAACGTTCGATAAACGTTGCGAAAGGCACCTTTTGCAACGTTTATTTATAAAATGTTGCTAAAACTCAATTATATTAACCAATAGCAACATACACTTATTAAAATATTGCGATAGA